TGTTGCGCGGTGGCGGCCGGAGGTTGAATCGGGAAAATGACCGAGATCCGCTTCTGTACATTCTTGCCGCGATCCAACGCCTCCACTTCCACAGTGTACCGCAGCAGCTGTAGCTTCTGATCTGCCCGCGAGTGGTCCGTGTTCGATGGCGGTGGGTTCGGCGACACAGACAAGAGCCCTTTGGCGAGGTAGGAGAGTCGAACCTGATCGGCAGCATGGTGGGCTAGAGCGATGTGGCGGGCCCGATCGTTCGCCAGCGAGGTCGTGGTGGAGGTGGTGAGTGTCGAGCTGGAATGAGATGGCGGCGCGAGCGAGGACGACGTTACGAAGGAAGCGGCGCCCGAATCTGTGCGGAAGGAGCGCCTGAGTGATCTTTGGTCCGCTGCCGACGGGCTCCTGGATGGACTCGATACATACCGAAAGGCTTCCCGGTGGATGAAGGCATGACATGATAAGGGCGTGGATGCTGATGAAGCTGCGGTCGGGACGACATGATGCAAAAAGCTGCGAGGGCTCGAGAGAGAAGCGGGAGCCCGAGAGGTGGGACAATCGAAGTCGTCAAGTCGTGAGTCCTCCTATCGACGAAGCGCAGCGTTGTCCGTTGCGTGAAGAAGAAGCCAAGCTAGTTTAGAACGTCCAGAAGGGACAAGGTCTCGACGACTTTATGAGCGCCAGGTCCTCCACGGCATGACATGACATTGACATAGGTGAGACGCGCGCTTTGGGCTCGCTTTGTTTGGCTTTACACAACAAGCAAAGGCACCCAGCAGGGGAGGACAAGGCCTTCGAGGCGAGCGAGAACAAGCACCTGGCTCCTTCGTCAGCGAGGACGGAACAAAGGGGTCCCAGCGGATCACGGACCTCGCGGAGGATATAGCGCAGCGCTTAAGTCGTCTCGTATAGCGATTTGGATGCCGTCTAGCTCGTTGATTGTCCTCTAGCCGGGAGAGGGGCGAGTCGGTGGATTCGAACCTCTCATCACTCGTGAGAGAGACGCTCGGATCCAACCACACACACACTCGCCATGGCAGCATTACCGAACCGGCACGAGATTGCGCCCGTAAGCGGCGACAAAGTCAGCATCGTGAGTCTGCGCTTCCCCTCCTCAGCCCGCCCGCTATGCTGCCCCATCTCGAGAGACGAGCTGACAGCAGAATCCGGGTTCTCATCTTTCTCGCGTCGACAGCTTCCTGGTGCGACTGAAGGCTACACGCAAGCCACGTTCTGTATCTTGGAAGAGGACCATACCCTTGGAAACTTGCTGCGATGGATGCTCATGAAGAAGTACGTCGCTCCTCTCCTCAGCACCGCCTCTTGCCCGACACTTTCGGCTGACTTGTATCCCTGTCCCTGCAGCCCTTCGGTCGAGTTCTGCGGCTACAGGTACGCTACAGCGTCCCGGCGACGGTGCGGCTCCGATCCTGATGCTCGGTCTGACCCCAATGACAGCGCGCCGCATCCGTCAGAAGCCAAAATTCACATCCGAGTTCAGATGTATGGTGCGTCCAGAGCAGCTTTCCTACTCGGCGACCCACATGAGTGAACGCTGACTGTTGAGACGGCCCGACAGATGGCAAGTCGGCGGTCGACGCGATGAACGAGGCGCTCGACAACCTCGAAGCGATGGCCGGCGTCCTCCTCGAAAAGTACAACGCCTCTCTCGCAGACGGCGACTTTGAAAAGATCGAAGAGGACGAAAAGGTTGACTTTGAGAGCGTGAACCGGAAACTGTGGGCGCAGAAGGAGGCCGAGGGACGGGGGACCGAAGCCGAGTTCCTCGAGGAGAAGCGCAAGCAGCAGGCGGCGGCGGCAGCCAAGGCGGACGGCGCGGGCGGCAAGAGGGGCGGCAAATCCGCGGTCAAGGCGGAGCGATGAGAGCCCCCGCGCTCTGCTCCGGAGGTGGCAGTCGAGGCGCCCTCTCTTGTACCATCAGCTGTGTAACCATACGCAATTTCCTCTCGCGTACCAATTTGGGGGCCTTTGTGACATCACATGGCACTTTTCGGGCGACTAAGCGAACACATAGAGACAGTCCCGGGAGTGACAATATAGGCCTCCCTGGCCTGCTCTCGCGCGGAACGGCACTTTGCGACGCGAAGCTGTTGGCCGACGACTGTCACCTCACTCGAGAGCGACGATGCCACGCAAGAAAGCAGCACCGGCGCAGTCAGATCCTGTCCACGAAGAGGACGGCGGTCTCGAGGCGTTCGAGTTGCCCAAGAGTGTCGGTGCGTTCATCTCGCGTCTCGCGCCTGCCTGAACTCGCTGTCGTCGCCTCGTATAGGCGGTCCGGCCAGTGTGGCACTTGTAGGAACCGCCGAGCTGACGAAAGACACGCTCTCCACAGTCGCGCGGATAGCACGAGGGGCCGTGAGTCTGGAGGACCCTGCTCTCACGGCGCACCACCTCCTTCGGCTCGTCCTTTCATAGCCATAGCACGCTGACCTGACGTTGCTCGCCGGGTCGCACAGCTTCCAGACGACATCAAATTGCAAAAGGAGGTGCCGCTCGCGCTCGTCAAAGGTTCGACGGTCTTCATCAACTACCTCGCCGCGCTGTCCGTCCCTGCCTCGCGTCCAACTCTCGACCTTCTGAACCGTTCCTTGTTGCTGATACTTTCGCCGACAGGAGTCATGATCTCGCAGCAGAGAAGAACCACAAGACCATCTCGGCCGCTCACGTCCTCGATGCCGTCAAGCAACTCGGATGGGACGACGGCGGCGAACTGCACCGGCAGCTGAAGAAGGACCTCGCAGGTGCGGCGCACGGGCGCAACTCTCTCTCTCCCCCGGTGGTCTCTGAGGCGCTGGAAGGATTCCGCGGCTGACGGGCGCGTGTCTACAGGGTTCCGAGTGGCAAACGAGGCCAAGAAGAAAGGTGTTGCCCCGCCTGCCCCTCCGCCAAAAGCGCCGAAACCAACCGTGTCGGCGCCGGTAGTGGCTGATCCGGCATCCAACGAAGCTGCCGCCGCTGTGGCGGAAGCGTCGACTTCGGCGGCTGCGGGCGAGGGACGAGACGAGGCAGCGACGCCCGTCTTGCGGAACGAACGCGCGAACGCAGACGAGGCAGACTTGTATCCGGGCGGAGAAGACCTCGAGGAAGACGACTTGGAGGGCGTGGAAGAGTATGTCGACGAAGGCGAGGACGACGAGATGGAGGATGCTGGCAGTGAAGGCATCGACGACGAAGAAGTCGCAGATCGAGGGCTCGAGGACGACCAAGACGAGAATGACGGGAACTATCGCGAGGGGCAGGCGTAGCGTTTCCGTGCTGACTCTCTCGTCCCATCTGCTTGTTGTACTATCGTTCCCTCGTGATCTCGATGCGGCCACGGGCGTGCGCGACGAGAGTGGCAAACATTGCAAAACGACGGGCCTGGAGGGCGACCGCTGCACGCGCTGGGCGTTACCAGCTTTGCACCTCACGCTTATGCTGGTGTGGGTGCTGGACAGCCGTTGTCCGGTGAAGGTTGCTTTTCATGAACGGTCGGAGGTCCGACCAGCTTTTCAATCAGCTAATCCCCTCTAGTTTGGACGACAGCTCCTTGACCCTAGCCGCGAGGCAGACCTTTCTTCTTCGGGTAAAGCGTAGCGTGTGGGACCTGTCCCTGTTGTATCGCGTGACTACTTACTTGCCCGTTGAGAAACCACCATTTCAATGACCATTGCAAGATAATCCGACAGATGGACCCCGGAGCGCGCGCTCGACCCGCCCCGGGGACCGTATTTGACGGCTTCACGAACCGGAGATTGCGAGCGTTGGAGGGGTTCAGACGAGTCAGAAGCGGGCAAAAACAGGGGCTGATCTTGAAGTGCGGCGTCCTGGCTCGTAGGCGTTGTGCGATGAACCTGGCTCGCCCCTGCCGCCCAACGCAGAACCCTCCTTTCCAGCCTCAGTTGCGCGTGCGCGGCGATTCTTATCGGCCGTGGTCTTTCTGTGTTTCACGAGATTATATGAGAGGAAAACTCTCGGCTTTGGCTGAGCCAAACTATGGCTGTCAGCTCTCTTGGAACCCCACCTCCGCCCGCCGTGTCTGCAACACTCACAAGCTTAATCCATTCGCCCCTTTTGAAGTGCTTTGCCAGATATCGAAAGTTGTCCCGGCGCGTGACCCTGCTATTCGGTTTCAGGTCGTCGATCCATTCCTGAAACTCGTCCGTCTGCCATGATTCGCGCCACTTCGAGATCATCTCTTTTCTCCGTTCAGCCGTTTGCTGGGCGGCGGATCGATGACGTGCGCTGTGTTCAGGCGAATTCTCCTTCTCGCAGATTTCGGCGTTGCAGTCCGTCGCGAAACAGACAATGCCGCTGATCATGGTATCCATCCAAGCTTTAAACTCATCCCGGTTCTTTGCTTTGAGCGGGTCATCGTGAATCTCTACTTCTCGGTCGAACTTGGTCTTGGCATCTTCGAATTTGTCGTCGGTCATCTCGAGAGGTTTTCTGGGTGCAGGAAGAACCTCAACGCGAGCCAAGGTGAGCGCCGGTTGGACAGAGCCAGGAATTGCCCACCGCAAAAGCGGACGAAGAGCTTGGGGAGACGAAGAGAGTAGTATGAAGGAGAAGGAGACAGTGGTGTTTCCTGACCTGATACTGCCGCCGCTTGGCCAGAGTGCGCTCAGAGCTCCGCGGCTTGTCCGATATTTTGCCCGCGTCCGGCCCGGCCGGCCCAGCGATGGTAGAGCTGCGATTCGGCGCTCGTCCGCATGGCACAGCCGCCGACAGTTACTATGTAACAGATGCATGCGCACCGCGCAGTGCTGAACGGCATATCGAGAGAACAGCTTCGGAGGTGCCGATTCTGCAAGTCGAGTCGGAGGAGGCGGGGTGCTCAGTCGCCAGGTGGCATGTCCCAGCTCGAGCTTAGACCATGGCTATGACAGCTCGTAGGAGCGTGCCAAAGGTGGGCTCATGAGCGTCAGGAGTGTGAGTGAGCCGGACCTTACGTACCTAGCAGCCCAAAATAGCTATATTGGCCAAATTTGGCAAAGCTTCAAGCTGTTCCCTTAGCTCAGGGGTAGAGCGGGCGACTCCAGTTTATTCGGATTCATCGTCAGGCCGGGCGTTCAAATCGCTCAGGGGACTTCCCACAGCTGCTTTCGATTGTTCGGCAGCGGCGCATCTTTTATCTCCTTTTTCTTTCTTGGCTGGGCGACCCGGGACACCACAGAGTGCTTTTGCTCCGCCGCGACATGATATACTGGAGGCGGTCCTGTGCGGCTCGAGCGAGCAAAAGAATCGGTCTCGTGCGATTGACCTTCTTATCCTTCTGGCGTTGGAGGTTAAGGATCGTGAGTCAAGCCGTGCTACAGTAAGTAGCCCCACAATCGACACGACGCCGTGCCTGCTTCAGGATGCTGTGCTGTGAATCGTGATGCAAACTCCCCAACCTTGAACTGGCACATCAGAGATTGCGATTGAGCAAGCCTGCGAGTGCAAGATTTGAAGGTCGTGGCGCAAAGCGGAAGAACACAAGCTCGGAACTGGGGAAGAAGGAGAGAGAAGGAACGGTACACGAGGGTAGGCATGACTCTGGCGTTCAGAGCGAGGCTTGCGTGCGGTACCGGGTCTGTAAGATAATCCCGGTGAAATCTAGACTGCCGAGTTGACTTTGGCGGGTAACTTATGCATGCCTGCTTCGGAGCTCGCGAATGGGTCGCGTCTACACCACACTTCGATTCGGTCGCGCAACGGGGATGGTACGGTACCTCTAGCGCTCGGCGGCCTCCCCTTCGAACGTCAGTCTGGATTCCGTTTTCCCGCCACCCGGCGCTGGCCTGGAAGCATACGCGGAGTCAGCCCGGAACATCCAGCTCCCTCACGTATTGTCATTTTTTAAGAGAAGGGATCACCTCTCGGCAATCAGGGAGCGAGCGTAAGTTTGGCGGGACGTTGCCCTGCATGGCTGCGCTTGTTCGGCACCGTGCAACTTCCCGTCCCAGGCAGCGCGGGGTATTCACGAGAGAAGAGGCCGGAGAGAGAGCCGGAAATGCACGTGCGCGAGGAATCCGACTCGGTAATCGGCTGCCAGCTGCCGCTCTCGTCGAGGTGGCGAGAAACTCGTCCAGCGAGGAAGACTGCGTTTGCTTTTCGCGGCCTTACTCCCCGCATCTTTCGCGATATTAGTCCCGGGAGGGCGGACCACTATTCTCTGATCATCTTATCAGCCCAAAGGGGGAGGGAAACGAGGCTCAGCAGGGCATATGCTGGTGCTCGAGAGCAGAATGACGATTCGGCGATTTTTACTCCCGCGCCTCTGGGGGTCCGGAGATGGGTTAGTGCATATGCTCTGAAAAGGCGTCCCTCTCGCGTACACAATGCTCCTTCCGAGAGACTCGAATGTGCCACAATTTGCGCGCCGGCCAAAATGACGACCCGAGACGAGGAGCACCGCCTCACGCGCGACACATCGCTCTCTACGCCACCTGTACTTGGTAGCACCAGAAGCATTCAAAGCTCAAGAGGCCCCCATGTCGGCTGCCAGCTCCCGGCTCGACGAGCTGCGGCGGCAGAGCCAAGCCAAGTTGGCCCACTTTCAACCGAACGAGTACTCGATCCGCAGCTGGATCAACACGGCCCGCGTCGCGTTCGAGACGGCAGAGAGGCACTGGACGCAGGGAAAGGCCGACAACGATGTCCGCAAGGTCGAAGAGGCGTTCCTCGAGTACAAGCGGGCGGCCGGGTGAGTCCTCCGGATCGTGTCATCCAACCTCGCAAGGAGCGGCTCGTCATGGAGCGTGGACGCGAGGGCTCGAAACTCCAGGCAGAGACGCCACCTCACGGCCTGCGCAAGACCCCGCCTCCGGTCCATCTCGCTGCTGCCACCGCCTCCGAGTCTCTCGTCATCCCCCACCTTGGAGCGGACGTCAAACGCTGGCTTGGCGTGCAGGGCTCTAGACTGACAGCCACGAGGGGCAAACAGGATCATGCAGATGATCATGAACCACCCGCACTACCATTCGATGCTCGCGACGAAGCCGCCAGAGTACCAGACATTCGTCGACTTGCGAAAGGTGCGCCTTTTTCGCAGCCTTCGTGCCGCGGACAGTACGATCGCTGACTCTTTCTTTCGTACCCACAGGCGGCGACAGCGGCGAGAGAGCCGAATGAAGCAGTGGTTCGCTGGCTCGAACAACGAGAAGCCGTGACTCCCACCGCGCGATCGAGCACCACCGCCGTCCCTTCTGATAACGCGTCGCACGTTCCGTCGAACGCTCCGAGTGCGCCCTCGACTTCAACATCGAACGGCTTGTGCGTAGGGCGACTGTCAGAGACAGCTGTAGCGTGGTGCTGACCCGTGCTGGCCGCGCAGTCACCGCTCCGACTCGCAGCCTTCTCGGCCAGAACCGCACAAAACGCCGTCATTTCCCACGACGTCTCTCGCGGAGCGTATGGCTGCTCTACGAGCGTCCGGACTGTCAGGAGCAACACCCAGCGGCTCTGTCGGAGCGGCACGACACCCCACCACCGCCTCGCCACCAGCTTCTCCGAAGCGTCCGCCGAGCCCACAGCTCTCCTCCGGTCCGTCTCGTACGCTGCGTCAGTCGGCGACTCCAATCTCTCCGTCCACCAGTCCACGGGTACCAAAGGGAGACCTGGTTGCAGATGACGCAGTCGAGAGGTCCGGCAGCGCGCCTCCGATCCTGCCCTACTCGAGAGTGCAGGAACCGGCCAAAGTGTGGGAGGAATCGGCTTTGCAGTTCCGCCCAGACGGAGGCGCGCCGATCGGACAGCGCGAGAACGGAGTCAGCGATCGCGGGCCCGCAGGAGGGGTCGATGTCGGTCCGACGCGAACGCGAGTGCAGGAGGACGAGCCGGACTCGTCAACGCGGTTCGAGGATGCCTTTCCGAGTCTCGACGACTTTGAAAGACGGATCGATCCGGCGGATCTGGGGAACCTGGGTCCGACCCGAACACGGTCGTCGACCGCCTCGTCCGACTTTTTCCAGCTGCCTTCCGTTCCCACCTCGGATCCTGGCTCTGCACCTACACCAACCTCGTCGTCCGATATCGCCAAGCCTCCTCGGCGCGCTCCTCCTCCTCATCCACCGAAACCACAACACCTCGACGAACAGACTTTCCGTCGAGAACAGCAAGAGCGCGCCGACGCGATGGCCAAGCTCGCGGCTGGCCGCGGCCCCACGCCTCCTTCGACTTCGGCCTCGACGCAAGGTCGGTCGGACTTGCCTTCGGCTCTCGTGCCCGGAAGGCGATCATCCGCGACCGCCCCATCGCCGCCAGGCGGCGCTGGCCTCGTCGCGCTACCTTTGCCGGCGGGACCGCGTCACGGTCTCAAGATCCCGTTCGCGACCGACGTGCGACCGCTCGAGCTTTGGCAGTACATCCAGACTTCGAAAGCCGAGAGCGGCGAAGGCCCCCGAGTCTTGCTGCTCGACGTCAGAAGCAGGGAAGAGTACGAGCGAGGTCGGGTTAGAGGCGAAACTGTTTGCCTCGAGCCGATCGTGTTGCGGAATGGGCAAGCTGCTTCCTTGTCTACTTCGATCTCAGCTTCGCGACTGACTTGAAAGGCTGCTCGCAGGGTGCGGAGCGCCGATATCGAGGATGCTTTGAGTCTCTCGCCGCCTCAGGAAGCGGCGCTCTTCAACGCACGGAATCGCTACGATATTGTCGTCATCTACGACCGATCATCTGCCGCACTACCTACTACCGCACCGGCATCAACGTCCTCGGACGCGCAGCGAACCCTGTGGAACCTCGTCAATGCGATCTACGAGCGCGAGTTTTCGAAGCACCTCGCGAGGCAGCCGATCCTCCTTCGTGGAGGGTGGGAAGCCTGGGAGCAGCAGGTCGGACCGAGAGGCTGTGTCGGTACGCACGTGGCGCCCGAGTCCAATCTTTCGGATGCGAGGAAGACGAATCGTCGCGCGACGGTCGTTTCGTACCCGGGCGAAAGCGGGCAAGTCGTTAATGGTCATGGCCTGGTGCGTGTCGTCTACGTTGAATCCGTGCTGGTGCTGTTCTGAGCTGACGCTTGCGCGCCGCGAAACAGACTTCATCCATGACCAGACCTGCTTCCCCTTACCAGCCGTCGCCCGTCGCCGCCTCTGTCATGTCTCCACGCCTTGCCATGCCGCCTGTCGCCGCGCAGAGGTACGGTCCTGCACCGGAGTACGACCCTTTCACGGCAGCGGCTTCGCCTCCTCCTGCCTCGTCAAGGCCATCTTATCCGCAACCGCAACTCAACGGGTACGGCTACGGCCAACCCGCGCCGCCACCTCCTTCCGGTCCGTCAAGCGCCTACAGCTCAGATCTCTATGCCTCTGGCTCGAACAACATGACGGCGTATGTCAACGGGGAATTTTCTCCTGCGCGAGCTGGATCTGCCGACTACTCTCGACCTTCGATCGACTACCCCATGCTGCAGGCAAGACCGCCACCGCCGATCGCCGAGGCGAATCGTCCTCCGCCTCGAAAATCGTCCTACGATGCGGCTCAGTCTGCTGGTGCACTTGCGCGACCACCTCCGGCACGTCCGGCTCCGCCACGACTCAACTCTTCCTTCTCGAGCATGCAGCCGGCGCAGTATTCCGCAGCGCACTCGAATTTCCCGACGAGCCTCTTGAGCTTCAACGAGGGCGTGATCGGACTGAGTGGACTCAAGAACCTCGGCAATACCTGCTACATGAACTCGACGATCCAGTGCCTCAGCGCCGCCGTCCCATTCGCTCGTTACTTTACAGGTACGATCGCAATTACAGCACATGCTCTGTACAACCTGACTGACCCTTGATACGTTCATCCAGGGGGCGCTTACCGCAAGGACATCAACGTCGTCAACCCTCTCGGCACCAAGGGCGCGTTGGCGAACGCGGTCGCCGAGCTCATTCGGATGCTGTGGGCCCAGCAGTATCACTTTCTTTCGCCCGTCACGTTCCGAGAGGCGATCTGCCGCGTCGCGCCGCAGTTCCGCGGCTCGGAGCAACACGACGCGCAAGAGTTTCTCGGCTTCCTCCTGGACGGCTTGCACGAAGATTGCAACTACGTCGTGCACAAGCCGCCGCCGATCGAGATGACGCCGGAGCGCGAGCACGACCTCGAGACGTTGCCGCCTCAGATCATGAGCG